CCTCCCCCGTGATAACCCTTGTCAAGCTGCAGCTAAGGAGCCCGGGTTGGCACCGCCGTGGAGTGCAGGGTGGGGAACAAGCCCGGAAACACGCTGGCTACACCTAGCTGGTCTTTCGTTTGGGAAGATCCCCGCACGTGGCAGGAGACGCGAGCTCCAGCTAGACGTCTCTCCCAGGTGGGTGGCGGCCCCGCCACGCGCCCAGCGCGGAGCCCTCTGACTCCTGCAGCCTGCCCGGCGCGCTCGCCTGGCCCCGGTCCGCGTCTCCCGAGGCCGGGCGCCCTCTGGTGGCCGTCAACCCGACAGCAGTGGCACTTGGGCACGCGGTTCACCCTCTTCCAGCCCCGTCTTCCCCTAAACTCGTGGACGCCGTCACATTGCCGCGTACGTCCTCCGCGCGGGCCACTGGTGTAAGGTCACAAGGTGTCCGACCTTCTGTTTCAGGACGAGCCTCCGGGAGAGGCACCCCAGGACAGTGTGGCAGGGTCCGCGCGCCCCAGCCGGTCCCGCGGGCCCTGCCTCCCCTCCCGCCGGAGCACGCTTGGGCTCCCCGCTGGCCACCGCGTTCGCCTTCAGGGGGTGGCTGGCCTCTTGTCAGCGCCCACAGCCCCCACTAAGGGCCCGCCTGCCCAGCCTCTGCCCTCCGGAGGAAGCCCACCTTGATCTGGGCCACCCCTGCCAGGGGCCCGCCCTGCAGCCCAGACCTGGCTCAGCACTGCCAGCTTCCCACCCTTGCCTCCGCAGGCCGTTTGACATCACCTTTGTGACCCCGCAAGTCTTTAGAGCCCCCACCCACAGAGCACTCTGAAACGTGAAGGATGGGGACCCGAGACCCCTCGGTGCAGGTGGCACGCTGAACAGAGAGCATGTTCTCAACTGCAGGGCGGAGCAGCTGTCGGGGTATCCTGGAACTCTCGCCACAGGTCTCCACCCTGTGGAAGGCGCAGACCGGGTCTGCAGGGCTCTGCTCTGAGCAGGTGCAGGAAGCAGGGTGAGGGGTTCAAGGCCTCTGGGGACAAGATGGCCCAGTCAAGGCCACCTGGCTGGGGTGATTTTTTCTTTTTAGGATGAGAGAGATGAGATGTCAGCCGTGATTTACGGGCGTGGCTGGGATTCAGGAAAAGGCTGGTAAGGAGCCTTAGCTGCCTGCAGCATGAAAAAACCAGAAAAGTGACCGGATAGTAGACCGAGAACAAAGAAGAGGCACTCCTTGGCGTCGTGAAGACCCAGCACGGGAGGGGAACTGGCTTCTGTTTCTCTATATACAGGCGGCTGAGTGACCAGGGGCCTTGTGCCCTGAGGTTTGGAGGAGGAGTAGGTGTAAACCCCGGAGCCTCCCTGCTCTCTGCCCCCTGTCCTGGTGAACAGGGCGGGCCTGGGGGAGGCGCGTATGCCCAGGAGCGACTTCAGTGACAAGGTGCAGTGGGCTATAGGCCTGGACAGAGCCCTGATCGCAGCAGGGACGATGGGGCACTTCCCCGCCACCAAAGAGCATGCCACCGCACCTGGAAAACGGGGGGAGCCCCGTCCGCCTTAGGGTTGGGGAGACTCCCAGCAGGCGGCATGGGTGGATGCTGTCGTCTCCTCTGTCCGGTTAAGGACGCCGGTTCCCTGGCGTCTGCCGAGTCCCTGCCCTGGTACAGCTCCAGCAAAGCAAGCGAGGCTGCGCTCGGGTGTGAGGGTCTCCTCCACGGCTGAGGCTTTGCAGGAGGCCAGTTCCAAGGCGCTGGGGCCCCACCCCCTTCCTATACCAGCTGCTCCCCTGTCTCTCTCCCCGGGTAGAGACTGCTCTCCTCCCTGCTGGAGTCAGGTCACCTGTCCCTAGCTCTGCTGCAGGGAGACCATCGGGCCAGTGCGGTGGCTGTCTCCTGAACAGCTGGAGGCATTCGCAGGACCTCCGACTGCAGAGCTCTCAGCGTTGGACCTAGGAGTTGGCCCACGCCCTTCGCACACGGGGTTCTGCCCCCAGCAGGGCCGAGGTTGGGAGCCCCAGCCTGGCACCTCCTCAGAGGGGAGCACCCGCCTCGGAACCCATTCTTACAGGAAGGACCTGGGGTCCGGGGCTCAGGTCAGCTGGTGTCCCCACGGTCTTTACTCTGAGCGCGTCCCTAACAAGCAGGAGCCTTCCTGTCCAGAACAGGGCACGAGAACAGGCCGGGCGAGACCCAGGAGGGGCCCAGAGTCAGCCGGAGAGGCCCAGAGGGTCTACACACCGGCTCACAGTGTCAAAACACAGCACAGGCCTCCTGGGGGAGAGGGAGCCCTGCCTGGCCATCTGTACCGGCTTCTGCCTCTGCCTGATGCCCTGAGTGGAGGAGGGCAGGGCAGCGGCACCAACAGGAAGACTCAGGCCGGGGCCGCCTGGCAAGCTGAGCCCCACAGAGGCAGCTCCCGGGTGAGATCTCTGGACCATGTGTCTCAGACGCGAGCTCTGGAGGACAGGGACTGTCTTCCCAGCCCGCCGGCCCCTGCACCGCCTCCCTCCCATCCAGTCTCCTGCACTGGCGAATCCTGTTTCGGAGCTGAGTGTCTGCCGACCCCCTCACCTCCAGACAGTAAGGGTGCCACTCCCCAAAACCCCGATCTGTACTTTCAAAATGATTTCCCGTGCCCGATTCTTGAGAGACAGAGGAGGAGAGAGAAGGTCTCTAGCCTGCATTGGGCTTTGCCGTAGGGCGGCGCACCACGCCCACCTGCACGAATCTTATGAGGTTGGGCAGGGTTGTCACTGGGTCCCCCAGAGGCTGAAAACTGAGGCCAAGGAGTGGGCAGCTTCAGCAAGGACCCTGGGGGTGGGGAGTAAAGCTGGAGGGGCTCCGGGCCTCCTCGCTCAGGTGCTGCCGTGGTCTCTGGACCCGCTTGCTTGTACCCACTTTGACACTTAGCCACAGCAGCCTGCGAGCCGGCCTCCCCCGTGGGGTCGCGACCCCGGCGGGCTGTGGGAATCACTGGAGACTGGCGTGTGTTTGATCTTGTTGGTGTTTCCCCACCTAGCGCCGCACAGCCCTGGAAGACAGAGGACCAGGAAGGCCAAGACTCAGACTCGGGTCTGCCTCTGGCATTGTGTCTTGGGACAGTTCCTTAACCGCGCTGAGCTTTGGCTCTGGGCACAGAGGTCAGGAGAGCTGTCTTCACAGGTGGCAGCGGGAGCAATGAGGCAGGGCGCGGGTCCTCGGACCCACGGGCCACCTCGGGGCTCTGTAGGGACAGGCGTCTCACCTGCCACCCTGCTATGCCAGGGTTGGGACAGATCCCAGACAGGCTCCCCAGCTCAGGATGGGGGTACCCACTTCAGGTGCCTGGCATGGGCGCAGCCATTCTGAGAGCCTGCTTCCCCGGAGGCTGATGCCCATCTGTCCACACCCACGCAAGCTTAGAGAGCTCTGGGCCCGACAGGGCCTGATTTAACCCAGATAAAGCAGTGTGGCAAATTATAACTGAGTGTACTTTTTCTTTTTTTTTTTCTAAAAGGTGTGTGCACTCACTGGAGAGAGAGAGGGAAAGTAAGAAATCACTCCCCCCGGAGAATGGCCACGCCCAATCCCTTCTCCTCCGTTCTCCTCTCGGGATTGTGGGCACGTACACACATGTGCTCAGTGTGTTTTTTAAGCCACTGGGTCGGGTCCAGTACTCGAACCACACAGTCAGCCAAGGGGGATCCAGCCACTTTAACCTCAAAGCCACCGGCTGGCCTTCAGCTGTATGTTGTAGATAAGGAAACCAAGTGTTTCCTGAGTGCCTGACCGCGCCCTTCCCTCTGCTCCTCCTACCCCTGAGAGGCGGTCCAGACAGCGCCCACCTTCTGCAGGGACTTCCTCCCTGGCTGGTACCTCTGGCCTCTGCCTGAATTCCTCGGTTGACAGGGAGTTCGCCATCTGCAGATGGTTGATTTTGAGTTTCGGTTTTTGTGTTTTTTTTTGGAAGGGGTGGGGAGAGGTTTTTGCTATGGGCTTGCCAGAAAAACAGAGAGAGACAGAGAGACAGAAAGTGAGAAATCACCCCCAGGGGATGGCCACGCCGCAATCCCTTCTGCATTCTCCTCTTGGGATCTTGGGCACGCACACACATGCTCCTGGCGTGAGTTTAAGCTACTGGGTCCAGGACTCGAACCACTGTTGACTACATGGGAATCCAGCAACATAGCAAGGGAAAGCAAGAAGGCAAGCCACCAGGTCTGGGACCTGAACCACAGTCAGCCATGTGGGAGTCCAGTGTCCCAACCACCACCTCACCTGCTGGCCCCAAGATTCTGAGTTTAGTTTTGTATTTTTGAGAGGTTTTTGCCTTAGGGTGCATGCACTCGCTGGAGAGACAAAGACAGTGAGAGGGAAAGTGAGAAATCACCCTGCAGGGGGCCACACCACAATCCCTTCTCCATTTTCCTCCTGGAATTTTGGCATGCATGCGTGCA